TTTTTTTTTGGTTTTTTTTTCTTTTTTCTTCTCCCCTCTCCCTTCCTTCTCGGAAAAATCAAATACAAAAAAAAGGAAAGTGCTGGGGGGGGAGATCAAAAGGTCCCCCCTAGCTCCTTGGGAAGGACTCCAGTGTATTGCCTGTGAGTGAAGTAGAAGCCAATGGAAGGTTTCTTTTGTGAAGAACGTGATAGCTGCTGTCTGAGAACAGACAGGAGGGGGCGCTTGTGGGAGCAAGGAGCACTGCAGGACGCACTGCATCAGTCCTAAGGGAATAAATACCACGCTGGCTTGGACCAGGGTGAGGGTGGCAGAGATGGCAAGGAGTTGTTGGGTTTTTCACATGTAGAGGCGGCTGTGAAAGAGCAAGGGGGGGGGGCGGAATTTCTACTCTGGAACCTTCTTCCTGCACACACAGGGCATCCCGGTAAGGATCTATCTGTGAGCACGTTGTCTAATGCAAGTCCTATGTCCTGATGTATCCAAATTACAGGAGACATTTCTCTCCAAGGAGCTAATACTTCCGCGTTTGCACAGGAAACATAGACATGCTTGGGCCTAGGGCCCAGTGGTCGGCAAACTGCGGCTCGGCAAACCGCACCTCGCGAGCCACATGCGGCTCTTTGGCCCCTTGAGTGTGGCTCTTCCACAAAATACCGACTTCTGCGCATGGGCCACGAAGTTTCCATCGCACTGTACATGCGCGCCCGCACATGGTATTTTGTGGAAGAGCCACACTCAAGGAGCCAAAGAGCCGCATGTGGCTCACGAGCCTCAGTTTGCCGACCACTGCTCTAAACCATGAGGTTTCACATCCAGGGGTTTACCCACAAACATCTGCACTTGCCTGGAAAGTACACAGGAGGCCATCCCCTGTGGTGGCACCTGTTAGAGGGAACAACTAGAAGCAAAACCCATCATCACTTAGATTCTGCTTAAATAGATTAAGGAGCTCCCCTACAAACTCTCATTGCCAATTGCAAATCACAAAGCATTCTGACACCCTGAAGTCTTGGTAAGAAGTCTTTGTTTAATCTCCTGTTCATCCCAATGTGTGTGAATATGCATCAGTTTATCTGTGGCGACTGGCTAAGGCAGTGGTTCCCAACCCTCTGGCCCTTTAAATATAGTTCCTCATGTTGTGACCCAACCATAAAATTATTTTCGTTGCTACTTCATAACTGTAATGTTGCTACTTTTATGAATCGTAATGTAAATATCTGATATGCAGGACGGTCTTAGGCGACCCCTGTGAAAGGGTCATTCGACCGCCAAAGGGGTCGCGACCCACAGGTTGAGAACCGCTGGGCTAAGGGATACTGCCCTAGATCCGTGTTAGTTAGCTATAGCTGCATAACAAATGGCCCCTAAAGTTAGCAGCTGAAAACAACACACATCTATTATCTCAGAGTTCCCATGGGTGAAGAACATGGATGCAGTTTAGCCGGGTGGGTTCCCAAAGCTCTCGTAACAGCAGTTCCCAAGGGAGCTGTGAGCCACTCTCGAATCCCTGCTCCCATCTTGCAGGGCCCTTGCTCAGGGTGAGCCCAAGGCTCCCACCACCACAACCTCGCCTTTCAGTGTTGGGAACTAGCGGCTGCTGGGAGAGGCCCCGCTGAGTTTTGGCCGGATGAGATGGGACACAAATTCATGGCAGAGCCTGGGCTAAGAGGGTCCCTCCGTGGCTCCAGCACACTCCGTGGCTCCCCACTGCTCTTGTTCCCCATGAGCTTGGCCAGACCAGCCACATCAGGAGACAGGTGGATGCTGTTCCATCCAGGAACCTACACTTTCAACGATCCCATACACCCTGTAAAGGCCCCCCCTCCCCCGCCCCCATCAATTCACTGGCCTGGCCCAAGAACCTGTGAGGTCCTCACCTGCTCCCGCCTGGTCCCATGGGTCCTCCGAGCAGCTGTCCAGAGCACAGGATACGTCGCTGGCACCGAGGGCCTTTTTCAGCTCTGAAACAACAGACAACTCCCTGGGCCCACCTGGAGAAGCCCGGGCATCAAAGGGCTTCCATCATTCCCCCAAAGAAGCCACAAAAGGGCAAAGGATGGAGGAAAGGCCTCAACCAAGAACTTTAAACAAATGGCTTATTTGAACCTCTCTCCCTGCCTGTGCCCAAGGCAGACATTGCTAGCTGATCCCCGACATCTTCACTGAGCCAGATGCTACCAGCTCCAGCTCAAAACACTGCATTCCAAGCAGATGTCACAAATCCATTAAGGATCAACCCCCCTAAGGACATGGAAAACCTCTGGGAATGGAGGTGTTACCTGTTTTGGGATCCCCCCCGCCCCCCCCCCCATCAGAGAATAGCCTTTTTTCATCTAAAGTGTCCCCTAGTGAAGAACTCAGGGGTTTTTTTGTTTAGCTACCCATAGATGGAGCCCACATCCTCACCCTTACTTCCTGCTCCCAAAACTCTGCTGTCGCCTATCAAGCTGCTCTGCGTCCCTTCTTCCTCTTTATGTCCTTCAAACACAGGCTCTCAGGGATGCCTCCCTTTCCCTACACTCCATTCGCAGGTGGCAGGCTCTCCTGTGTACTCGGCGACACCCAGGCCAGCAATTCTGGCACCTCTGCTCCTGCCTCATCCTCATCACTGGGCTCCGTCCTCTTGGGAGCTGCCCCTGCTTGGGCCCATCATTTGTTCCCAGGGCCGAGCCCTCGGCCTCCTCCCTCATTTTCAGCCTGGCCACTGTCATCCTCTGCTCACACCCCCTCCATGACTCCCAACTGCCTGTCATTCAGGCCCCTGCATGTCTGCCTCGGCAGCCTCCAGCCTCCTCTCCTCCTGTTGTCTTCCCCTCCCTCGGTGAGGGCCGCGTGGATGCCCTGAGTCGCCATTACATGCTGCTCAGCCCCAAGTTACTGCACGCGTCTCAGCAGCACAGACTTTGGGTCCTGAGTGAACAGACCAGGCAGGAGGGAGAACAGACAGTTCTGGAGCCTTTTCCCAGGGCGGGAGATCCTGGGAGGCCGGGCCCACGTTCAAGAACTCCTGGGGGCTCAGTGCCAGCAGCAAAACACAGGCGGCGATTGTTGAATGACTAAATGTGAATGTCTACCTGCAGTTTTTTAATTTTGCCTCCTTCCCCTCATCCTAGAAGTCCTACACACCCCTGAGAGCCTCATTCCAATGCCCTCACCCAGGGAGCTGCTATCACTGCCCGTCCAGGCTCGTCCACCTCTGTCCCGGGCTGGACCCGCAGTCATAAGGCTAGTGTTCACAGGGAAGTGAGGCCACTGGGCTCAGGGTCACCAGGCTCCCCCGAGCCACGGGGGGAGGCTCACTCCGTCGATCCTCTGCCGCAGGACCCCCCGGATGCA